CAAAATCAGCAGCACTATAAATGAACACATCAGCTTCTTGGTCAGAAAACATAAAACGAGATTACAGGGACGCTGAAGACCGCTCAGCCCTGAAGTGTCTTGGGAAAACAAAGAGTTGGAAGAGGAAGAATGGGAGGGCGCTCTTGAGGCAGTCAGTAAGGCATCTCTGATCTTCGTCTCCAATTTCTTTGCGATCATCTCTGCTGCATTGCCCCTGGGACACCGGATGTATGGCACATGCCCTGTTGCAAATCAATAATCCAGTTCAGTGCTCCTTTGCATCAGTGCCTTACCCATGGTGACAACAGCACCGAATAATCCACTTGCAATCCGCTCGATCTCGGCTTCAATCTGTTGCTCGGTCGAAGCTGGCGAGTTCAGAATGGTATACGATGTGACCGGATTCGACGGGGCGACCTGTCCAGCATTTGCCGGCGGGGTCGGTGGGGGCAGAAGCGAGAAGAGGGACGGCGAAGGGGAGATGAATGAGAGATATTGGTCCAGGACCTAATCTCAGGGTTAAAATCAAGTGTGCACTTGAGGTATGAGCACTACGAGCCTGTTTCACCATATCCCCCGTACCATCCCTCGCTACAGACGCCGCCAGCTCTTCCAAAAGCGCACGTGGTAGCGGCTCGACAAAGTTGAGATGAAATGATTCGTATAGACCTTTCTCGAGGTCCTCTGCTATCCTCCTGATATTGGCCAGTGTCGGAGAGACAAGATAGACAGCAGGGACGTCTCTCAATGGAGGGCGGTTCGAGTTCAATTGTCTGTGCTGATCGTCAGTTCGCTCGCAAGGTGGGCACTTGAATACGCGCACACATGTAATGTTACTCCAACATCTCGCAAGTCTTGCACACGTAGCACGGTCGCGAGCACGTCCTTCGTTTGCTGATCCAGTACGAGTATCTTCCAGACGAGTTTCCCGGCAGGTTGTGGGACTTTCTGTCCGGTGGTGGCTTTGTGGTGCTGGTCACCTGTATTGTCGGCGGAATTCAAATTGAGTAGAGAAAGCAAGGCATCCGTTTGGGCCTGTTGCAGCGTGGGAGTGACTGCTATCTTGCATCGGGTTTAGAATCATCGTCCTGAGGCTTGTGTGAAGTATACCTGTTTGATGTGGCTTGCCATATTGACCTGGAGACGCGTCAATGAGGACATTGGCACGAAACCGGATGCCCAACTTACTGCAGCCCAGAACTCAGAGGATGCGTTGATGAAATCCGGAGCAGAGAGAACAGAAGGGTTGTAGTCTCAGACTAGACGATTTGAAGTGGAGCAATTCAGATTGGGAGGGTTCGCCGCCACGCCTCGACACGTCCGTGACTGGCAGAATAATTGACACCACGTGCGAGCTTGATATCAGAATTGATGCTAAGTACCATCTTGCTTTTGGATTCGGCTGCGGGCCTCTGGACGGTCATCGAACCAGGAAATGGCCTCGACTGAAGTCGAAGAGATCCTCAATCGCCTTCGTTCACCCCTCCCTGACTTGAAGACTGTTCTAGCGCTGCTCTGTGCGCCTCTGGACTCGATCGGTCTGCTACCCCCCGCTTTCAGGCGGTATAATGTCGATCCACTTCCCGCCGGAGCCATATCAATCGCCAGACACATTCCCGCCTTTCAACGAGAGATACTAAAACATATTGGTCCCACGTGGCAGTCCTCTCTGGTTGAAGAAAATGCGGGACCCATAATAGATCAATTCTTCTGCCCGGACAGCTTTTCGTTTGCGTCGTCAGCAACGGGGGACGTGACTGTACTCGCTTACTCGACGATATTGTCTCTCCCGCTTGCAGAGTACTCGATAGGACTCTTGTCAAGGTTGTCCGAGCGATATCCCGTTGACAGACTGCACTCGGCTGTATTCTCGCATTCCCGAGCTGAGGACAAAGTGAAGAGAGCAGCGAGATGGGAAGATTGTGTGCGGAGCATTGTTTCCGTTCCAGTACGGGTAGCAAATGCCCTCGAGGGCAAGGATATCCCTCCCCAGCTAGAACATGGGGTCTATTTCAACCAGCTCTGTGAGCGCTGTGAGATTGCGATTGCGGCGATGTCGTCGGACACCCGAGGTGCGAGATGACACATTAGGTCGTATTTTTATTGAATTGACACAGAGGATGAATCGGGGGGACTGACCTTCCTCCTCGCCAAGCTCATCAATCTCGGCTGCTTCCCTTCGTCGCCACCCTCTTCAAGATCGCAGCCTTCTTTCTTCCAGGCAACCCTACCTCTTATCCGAGAGCGACTTGCAGTGGAGAATCTGCGGTATTCTGGCGCCTGGAGAAAGATCTTCCGCGGATTCGCCTCCACTTTGGCCCTGCAATCTGTTTTCGTATCGCTTCTTTCTGCCTTGCCAGCAGACGGCAGGCTCGACGGATCCCCGCAAGTCAGGTCCTCGATTAAACGAGAGGGGCTGTTTTTGAATTCGTTCTTGGGATCCCTCGATGTGGAAGAGGACTGGCAACTTTGGGAAGCCTTGTCTGCTGTTGTCTTGACTCGGGAATGGAACGAGGCCCATGCTCGCATATTTGTTTGCTGGATCTCGGGCCCTCGTTGCAATGCAGGCGGTGTGCATCCTTTCCTATTGCCCTTGGCCGATGCTCAATGATGCAGCCTTGGAAACTTTGCTGGATCGCATACTTGACCTGGGGTCTAATCCGGAACACATCAAGCATTCGCTGTTGAACAGACACAGATGTGCGTTCTGTCATTCGATTCAAGAGGCTGTTTGACATTCATATCAAGATGTCACTGCCATTTTCCTCCTCACATTGTCATATCTTCCTCCCTCATCATCGAAGCTGCAGTCGCTGGCGCTATCTCCAGCGCTTATCTCGAGCATCGGACAATATATCAGCCATCTGGACGACTCAGTTCGGAGATGCGGCATGCTTGCTGCCGAATTTGTTGCCCAACGCTCAGGCAAAACCCTTGACTTCAAAGATTGGGACGGAGACAGTGACGGAAAGGTGTGGGCACGGAGTTTACGAGCACTACTTGCCATCAAGGACGTGGACGCGGAAGTGCTTGAAGAACCGCCAAGCCTGCCGATCCCCGAAGCTGTCGCGGATGACCTGCCGCCCCTAGGCCATCATCGCGAGAACCCAATCGAGGTCGGATACGACTCGGACGACGACTCTCTGAGCGGGTACATCTCCGAATCTTCGTCGAGATCGGTCTCGCCCACGCGATCAGAACTGGCTGAGATTGAGCAAGATCCTACGCTCAGCGTAGGGCGCAAGAAAGTCCCTCGTCCCGTCTATCTTGCTCAACTGGGGGCTCTGATTCGGCCACCGGGGTCGGTGCAGGTGGACGAGAGCAAGCAGGCGGATGAATTGGAGGTGGGGCTTAGCTGCGCTGAGGAGCTGATACGTAAGAAGACAGGATATGGTGTGGAGCTAGGTGTCTTTTTTTTGGCTCCTCCGTGTGCAGAGAATCTCATCCGGCTGTAGAGGAAAATGCGGTCAATCTGGTCTATGGGTTGGTCGGACTGCAAGACAACTACGAATTGGAAGGCTTCTCCGAAAAGAGGCAGGGTGCTTTGAACGCTTTGGTGGCTTGTATTCCTCGAGTCGCAGCGACGTGAGTAATGTCGTCCTTGGATCCGATTTACTTGAATGACTCCTTGCAGATGTATCATCGAGGAATTCTTCAAAAACCAGTACTCAATTGATCAGCGATATGTGATGCTCAACGCTCTTGCCCTGGGAGCCAGAGAACTGGCCTCGCTCAGCATCCCCTCTTCTGCCGTGCCTCGACATCGTATTGCTTTTCCAAGCAAAACATTGCCGTCTCTTCTGCACCAGAAGTATGTCGAGAATGGCAACCAGCTGCTGCCTCGACTGGTCGAGGATATCAGCCAAGAGGCATTAGACCGCGACGCTCGGGACAACGTAGATAAGGTCCCTCAGCTCGTCCGAGAACGCAGACTTCGAGTCCAAAAGCAGCCCTTAGTCAAGGAGGTAGAGCCTGATCGACCACTCCAAAAGACGTCCTTCACTCAAGTTGCTGCCGAATGCTTCATCGCCCCGCTGATCAACCGATTCTGGTTGTTTTTCCGTGACGAGCAGTCGCGAGAAGAACGCACGGCGTTACGGCTCGGCAGGCAGAGATACCAGAGCACCGGCACGGGACTCATATTGAATCCTATGGTTCTCTCTCACCTGTTGATCACACTGGCTGTTTTGGTGCATGCTTCGAAGAATGCTCCCGAGTGGCTGGCCGTGATAGCCCCTGAAGCATTGGAGCTCGCGGTGACTCTTGGAACTCGGCCGATGAGCCTAGGCGATGACGACAACGATGGAAACAGCGGTGGCAAGGAGGCAGCCGTTGTAAGCTCTGCTCTGGAGCTCTCTCTCATCGTTCTCGATGGATGTCTGGAGGTCGATGACGGCCGTTCATTGGGCTTGGATAACACAACTTTGCTTCTAGCAACCGGGGAATGGGCCTCTTCTGTTTTCAGCTCTATCGAGCGGGGTGCTAAACTACCTGGCGAAGGAGGGATTCAGGAGATCAAGCTCAAAAGAGCTGCCGCTGGTGTTCTACTAAAAGTGGATACCTTGACTTCAAAATGGCGGCGATCCATGATAGACACTGCTTAATTGATTTGAAAATTTGAGGCCAGATACTTTCAGGCAGCAGGCTGGCCGCTTCAGTTTCACAAAGCTAACTCTCATCAATTGCCGTCGTGTATTTGGCCGTCATCATGTGAGCGCGAATTGAGTGGCAGTGCCGGAAACCGTCATCCAATCCCGACAAGCATGTTTGCGAGACTACCCCGTCGGCTGCCCCGGGTGCCCGCGCCTCCCACGCGCTACCTGTCCTCCACGGCTTCGAAAAGATCAGAGTCCCTTTTCATCGTCCGTCTTCCCCACTTGCTCCTTCGTCTCGTGACCTTACCCATTCTCAGCACCGTGATACTCCATACAACAACCCCCAGGTGGGTACTTAATCTCAGGCCCGCCTTGCTTCTCCCGGACGCATCTGACGCACGTTGAAGATCGAATTCAAATTCAACGAAGAGAATCTCAAGAAGGCCAAGGTCATAATATCGCGCTACCCACCTCAATACAAGAAAGCCGCCGTCATTCCTCTGCTGGACTTGGGACAGAGGCAGAACAAGGGATGGACCAGTATCAGTGTGATGAACTATGTTGCAAAGACGCTGGAAATGCCGCCTATGCGAGTCTACGAGGTCGCCACGTTCTACACCATGTTCAATCGGTACGTCGCGGGAGTGTGATCTGCGTCGCCGGGCTTCTCAATCGTGTGCGCAGTGAGCCGATAGGCACCCACTTCGTCCAAGTGTGCACCACCACTCCGTGCATGCTCATGGGTTCTACTGAGATTCTCAACACGACTTGCGCCCATCTTGGTGGCATCAAGCCTGGCGAAACGACGAAAGACGGCAAATTCACTGTCATCGAGGTGGAATGCCAGGGCGCCTGCAGCAATGCCCCCATGCTCGTCGTGGGCGACGACTTCTATGTGGGTCTCCTTCTCTTACGACGCCACATACATTGACAAGCATGCGCAGGAGGATCTGACTCCGGAGACGACCAAAAAGATCCTGGATGCGTTTGCGAAGGGCGAGAAGCCAAAGCCTGGACCGCAAAGTGGCCGTCAGACCAGCGAGAACTCGGCCGGATTGACCGCGCTTACTAGCAAAGTACGTTGAACTGGTTGTTTTCACTTGCCTGTGGCTTAATGCTCCATCTCTAGCCCTACGGACCTGGTGAACACTGCCAGCCAGAGTTTCGATAATCAGCATTAGAATGAGTTCACAATACAATGTATCGTGCATGTCCCAGTTGATTCCATCGACTTCAGTCATCGCCCTCTCCGTCGTCCCAGCCGTGAATGCCTTCGCCACCTTCCGGCAACCTCTCAATCATGTAACTAGCGCTGGATGAGAAGCGTCGGAAGATGGTGACAATGGACACTCACTCGACTTCCTCTTTGAGATCTTTGCAATACCTATCGAGAGGAAGATCGCCGGTGTCATCCCCTGGAAAATTGTTGAGAAGGGTGTCGGATGCCTGGCCTCAAGTCTCCCTTACCATACGGCTGCTCCAATTCGTCCGCAATTCCTTCGATTCCCTGGACACGACTAAATACCTGGAGAGCACGAACAAAACCAGGACAGACCATGAACGTAAACGCGACCACAGTCACAAGAGGAACCATTGCCCAGCCGAGCTCCTTGACCAAGGTCAAAGGAAGAGCAAACAGATAGAGCGTGACACATTGCTTGAGATGAATTCCGTCTACCCTCGGCCTCAGTGATTGCTCGGATATATGATAGGAGGCTTCTCACAAGACACGGGAATAGGCGTATTGGCCACTCTGTAACGTTCGAGTATGAGATTGGGAAGCTGCGAAAAGTGGGTCCGACGCACCGCTCCATGGAGGTCAGTTGCTCGACCATATTCTGCACACTTGAGGCGGATCAGTACGGCCACAAGCAATACCCGTCTGAAGCATACATAGCAGTCATAGCATTTGTACCTCGAGTTGATGTCAGCATTCTGGGTAGTCCCCGGGGAGATAAACCACATACCAGCCGGTCCAACGGTCTCCAAGAATCCCTCTCGCCGGAATTGGAACAGCTTGCGTGTGATTTCATGCGCGATAACCAGCGGTAAGGGCATGGAGGCTTCATCAGCATACGGGTGGAATTCGACTGTTCTTTGAGTTCCGGAAAGCAGCGGGGTCCGAGGTCCGACCTGTTGTTTGCTGCGTTTCGGCCGCACGCGCTTCGTGGCATCTGGACGTGTCGCGATATGGTCAGTGGATCCACCGTTAGAAGAGGGGGCCGAGTGGTTGAGAGTCGCCGCGTAGGAGCTTGACGCAGTGGTGTGCTGAGTGTTGAATCCCACTTCATCCGCTCTGATGAAAGCCGCAGGGAGAACACCGTGGTAGTCGTTCCAATGCAGACCATCCTCGCCACGCAGATAGTGCTACAAAATGTTTGTCGGGAGTGGGATCAGTTCAAGGGCCCACACACTTTGGTAGCGAATGCGAATGCCGCGCACAATTGCAACACCTCGGTCTTCCTGCGGTGTAGTTGGTGGCTCGTGACTTCAGTCGTGGGTGTTTTGCCTTTGGCACTTCCGGGCTGGTCGTCGGTCGGAGGGAGCGCGACATTGATCCATACAAGACGAGTGAGACTCCGAACGTTGGAGGTTATAGAGGCAAAACATTTGCGACCTTCCCACCAGCGATCGTAGGACGTCCTGGAAGCAAACTTAGAGACGTTGATAGCAACACCTTACGCCCAGGCACACGAACCCATTTCTGAAGACGAGAATCAAACCGACCTGTGCGTAGTGAGCGGACACACAACGAATGACAGTCGCCGCACGCACCACGACTGAAAGCAACGGAACGATGCTGTTGGTGGCAAAGAGGACATAACCGTGGTGGCTGGCATACGCGATGCCCGTAGCAAACAGAGTAACGGTCTGTATTCCAGGAAGGATTTCAGCGAGCTTTCCTTGTTCGAACACCCACGAAACACACGCACGAGCACAGGCCCAAAGATCCTACTGATGATCTGGAATACTGCTTCAAGACTGCAGTTGGCAGTGGCAAATCAAGAGAACGCACGCTTCCTTTTAAACGGAAGACGTCGGGGAGCCATGAGTACTGGAAATCAAACTGGTCACCCGAGTGCTCGAAATGTGGAGAAAGCCGAGTTTACTTTGCGTAAGTGCCGGCGCTTGATCGGTGGTGGCTAGAGCGCATTCATTCATTGAGGCTTAAGCGGAGGGGCAGAAGTTGGAGTAGCTACCCTCAAGGTGGGCAGCACCGAGGCTAATGTGGTCTTGTTGGTCGAACCGGTCATGATGGTCGAGGGAAAGAATCGCCGACACAAGGTCAGCCATCATTAGATTCCGGTCGTCATAGAGTTCATTATTAGCTCTCGTAAAGTACGTATGGATACATTTGCTAGACACTTATGCACAGTGGAAGGGTTGAGGTCATTAGGTTACAGTATAATGTATGTCAAGGTATCACAACAATCTTAATGAACTGACATTAAAATATCTCCACACGGAAAGGGGAAAACTGTAGTTCCTCGAGTTGGTATCGCGGTGTCGTAACAGGAGATGGCGGAGCCCACAGAGATTTGTGAATCAACACAGGAGATGCGAGAGGATGAGCCAACTGCAGATTCGGAGTCCACGGCGTTGAACAGGCTTGAGAGTACGAGAGTCGTCGGGGAACTTGACAATTGCGCGGACGTGAGAAATGAATATGTATGTCTTGAATCGGAGATTCTGGGGTGCAGGGACTCGGCATAGCAGTCGTGTTGCTGTCAATTTGCATCGCAAGCACGAATGGACTCCAATGCCGAGCGTGTTTGTAAGGAAAACCTTTGGGTGCAAGAGGAGGTTGAGACGGTGTTTGTATCAGCTGGTTGGTAGGAGTGAGAGGGGTCGGAAAGTGGCTGGGGGAGATGGATTGAGAACTGGGAGTGTTGATATGCAGCTTGAGGTAGGGTAAGGTGCGGGTCGATGAAGCCGTGCGACGAGCAGAGATTGTTGTATGAGCATGTTCCAGGGATGAGACGGTACCGTGAGCAATACCGGTCTTTCTCTTCGTGGACTCAGTTGCTACAGCAAAGTTAGACGTGAGGAGATGCAGAGACACCAGTCATACACCGCGATAGAACAGAGACGCGATGCGCCAGCTGGAGAACATGTTTCTTGGAGCAGATGACTAGCTCCTTCTTCTTGACAAAGCTTCTAGCAAAGCGAGATTGTCGTTGGATACAGGTCTCGCGCGCTCGATGTGGTCGTTGGAGGGAAAGCGCTGGTAATGGGATCATGCTCTGAGCCTTCCTTCAACAGGATAGGAAAAGAGATGTAACCATAGATAAGGATGTGATCTTGATCCAATAAAGCCGTTGAGCGGTGGGCTGAAGAGAGAACGCAGAGCGGGGAACTCATGGCCATGATAGTTGTTTGAGCAGAGGTTTGGATGAGTCGTCACTGGAACGCGAAGCGTCACAAGGCACTGTGTGACGTTGGAAACCACGGGACTACACGTGATCCAAAATCTGAATTTTAGCTGCAGACTCACGGTGGACTGCGGAGCTGAGAAGGTATTGAAACAGGCTCAACTCGGCGGTCTACGGCCAGAAATACATTCTTCGAAGGATTTCCGACAGTTCGCGACGTGTTTCGCACGTGCAATTGCATGTGGTCAAATTGCATGTGGTCGACAAGCTTATGCCAGAGAGGAACTCGAATCGGACGAGTCGGGTGGTTCCGATCGGTTTCCCTTTCGAGCACCACCCCCCGTCCTCGCATTCACGTTAAACCATCTCTCTTCTGCAGAACATACTGCTCGCCGCCCACAATGGATGCAGACTTGAAACAGTATCGTCTTCCGACAAATGTCAAGCCCCTGCACTACGACCTCACCGTCTGGACGGACTTGAAGGCCCTTAAATTCGGTGGATTCGTGAGCATCGAGTGAGTTTTGCCCGACCTGCTCAGTCCCAGACCCGAATAACTTTGTCAGGCTCGACGTACAGGCGGATACCACGACAATCGAGCTCAACACGAATGACTTGCAGCTGGGAACCGCGTACGCACTTCGTTGGATCGATCATCGTCATGTGCTCATCGGCTCTCGTCAGTTCCATCTTCTCCGATGAGATTGGTTTGAACGCACCATTGGTGGAACAAACGTTGGATACATCGCTGCAACGCGTCAAATACACGCTGCCGAAACCTTTGACCGCTGGAACGAAAGCCCACCTGAAGATTCCGTTCGATGCTTCGGCGCTTGGCAACAGTATGACGGGGTACTACCGGTCCGCGTGGGAGGAAAGCGGGGAGACGAAATACTACGCTCTCACTCAATTCGAGGCATGTGTCTCCCTCCGCTCTGCGCTAGAGCTGAACGATATACTCTTCAGCCAACAGACGCCCGGGCTGCGTTTCCTTGCTGGGATGAACCCGCGCTGAAGGCGACATTTGCGGTCACCATGATTTCGCACAAGGACACCGTCAACTTGAGCAATATGCCTGCGCTCTCGGAGCAGCCATATCAAGCTACGGGAGAACTGGCCGCGTCTCTGGCTCCCGATTGCGAGTGGAAGATCACCAAGTTTGAGACCACCCCGCTCATGTCTACGTATCTCGTCGCTTTCGCAAACGGCCCCTTCGTCTACTTGGAACAGAGCGCTGTTTCCCCGCTCAGCGGGAGAACGATTCCCTTGCGCATCTACAGTCAGTCGTCGATCGTCCGCTGTAATGCAGCAGCTCGCTGACGTGATCAGGTACTCCGGATCTGATTCACCAGGCTGCTTTTGGGTTGGACGTCGCGGCCAAGGTGTTGCCGATTTACGAGCAAGTTTTCGATATCGAGTATCCCCTTCCCAAATTGGACTCGCTTGTTGCGTCTGATTTCGATGCCGGTGCAATGGAGGCGCGTTGAAGGCCTATTCAAGCTATTTGACGAGAACTAATGTCTTGACAGAACTGGGGTCTCATCACAGGACGTGTTAATGCTCTTCTCCTTGACCCTGCAAAGGCAGATCTTCGTGGCAAGAAGAACGTGGCTGTGACCCAGAGCCATGAAGTAGCGCACCAGTGGTTTGGAAACATCACGACGATGAGCTGGTGGGAAACATTGTATCTGAATGAAGGAGAGTTTTTCTTTGAATGCTCGTCCGCAATCTGCTGATCGTTGGAGCAGGCTTTGCAACTTTGGTGCGATTCTTGTTGGGGGTATCTCTGCTGACGTCTGATTGGTTCGTCAGATGGGAGAGGTCATCATCCTCGGTAAGTTGGTG